CAGGGCCGCGGGGCCGCGGGCGGGCGGCCGCGCCGCAGCTACAACCACCTGGAGGGCGACGTGCGCTGGAGGCGCCTCTACTCCTCCACCCACTTCTTCCTGCGCATCGACGGCGCCGGCGCGGTGGCGGGCACGCGCTGGAAGGAGGCGCCCAGCAGTGAGTACCGCTCCCCGCCCGGGGCCGCCGGCTCCTCCCGCTGCAGCCCTGCGGAGACCGAGCCGTGTCCGAGGAGGGTCGGACCCCTCCATGCCCATCTGCAGCCCGGGGGCACCGAGGGATTTGGGCACCTCCCTTCCCTGTTAGCTGATGGGGTGGGAGCCGGGCCCCTCCATCCCTTGGTGCCTCTGGCTCTGGGTCTGCCAGCCGGCTCCTGGGGGGGCTGTGATAAGCCCATGAAGGTGTTCAGATACTATTGTCAGCGGGGCCAGATAAGGCAGAGGTGGGGGGGGACCCAGCCGGGCCTTGCCCCAGGGGAGCTGATTGTCCAGCAGTGATCGAGTCTCAAGGCCTGGCTTTCCCCTTCCCTTTGCCCCCATCAGAGCAGGATGCTGACAAACCCCCAGCAGCAGCAGCAGCAGCAGCAGCAGCAGCGCTCTCCCTGGGGAAGGGAGGCAAGTTCTCAGAGCAAGGGCCCGCTGGGTAGAGATCAGCTAGAGCTGAGTCCTGGGTTGGACCTGGGGCTCGGATGGGATCGGCCCCATCTCTGCAGGCGAATGAATCGACTCTTAACCCGCGGCTGCGTCAGATTCATTCCTCGCGCTCGACACCCGCAGAGCTGCCGTGACCCCTAGCATGGCTGCCTTTCCGGCCCAGTGGAGTGACAAAGACAAAGTGACACCAGCACCTTCCTGCCCCATGAGGCCTGAAGGGGCCAGACAGGGAGCCTGGCGGCACTGTTTCCAGCTCTGCCCCCGACTCCAGACATAACCTTGGGTGAATCCTTTAACCTGCCCAGGCAGGTCCCTCCGCTTCCCGACCTTTCCCTCCCCAAGTGGTTAGGTTCCCATAGGCTGGGAGGGAGGAGGTGGCGTCTATCCAGCGCGGCAGCCTCCCTCATAGGAGCTTTGGGAACAATACTTTGGCAAGCTTTAAACTGGACCTTGGCAAGGGCAAGAGGAGGATGCCAGAGCTGGGACCTGGAGGCTCCATCCAGACCCAGCCCTTGCAGCCGAAAGCGTCCTGCAGCCTGAAAGCTTCCGACAGGCGAATCCTGCCCCATCCAGAGCCCGTTCCCCGCACGCTTGGGGCACCATTGGGCTCTGCCTGCAGCTGGAAGGCAGCCCAATCCACTGGCACGGCTGCTTTTGCCTCTTGGCGGTGCCCCGGGCGGCCCCGCTGCTTCCCACAGGGTTTACGGAGAAAGGGGACAGCCGATGCTATTGTCACGATGCCTTTGTGGAGGGCTCACGGCCTGCTACGCTCTCAGGGAAAGCCGCCGGTCCAAGGAGCTGGCACAGCTGGGCGTGCATGGCTGGCAGGGCACGGAGCAATGGGCTGAGGCTGCAGCAGACCCCGGGGAAGGGGTTTCCCATCACTTCTGGCGGCTCCCGCTTCTCTGGTGCTCCCGTGGCAGTACTGAGAGGCAACGGGTAACATCGCTGCACGGAGCTGCACAATTGTCCCCCAGCGCTGGCCCCCAGCTCCAGCCTGGCACCAGCACCAGCCCCAGAGTATAGGCAGCTCGAGCTCTTAGAGGCCGACAATCCTCAGGCTTCGGGGCCCTGGCGCCCCCCGTCCTTGCAGCAAGTCCCAGGGTGGGCACTGCAGCAGATGCCAGCCACGGCCTGTATCCCTGCTTGGATACAGCAACAGCACCACGGGCATCAGGCTGATGCCACATCTGCTCTGCCTGGCACTCGGCAGTGCCCCCGGCTCGTGCCAGGTAGGGGCGGCCTCGGTGCCCGCGACCCTGAGGGTCCCCGGTTCACCAGGCTCGGCCAGTGATTATCTGCTCTGCGGAAGCAAAGTCCTGACTAAATTCCACTCCATCGCTGCCAGTCCCCACCCTGCACGTCTCCCGGTAATTGCGCCAAAAGGGAGTTGGCACCAAAGTGTAGCTGCCAAGTGGGGGATGGGAGATCAAGGAAGTCGCAGGGTGGAGTGGGGGCAGGTACATCCTGACCCTGTTTCTACCTGCCCAGCTGCCCCCCACACCGCCATGCAGCTCTGGGTTATTGCCTCCTGCCAGAGCTGAGGTCTGTGGCTTCTCTGGGGTACGTCAATGGGCCGATGCTGCCTGCCCCGCGCGGCTGCACAGAACGAGGTGCTCTTCCCCCTCGATCCTCTGGACAGGGGTTAGGGTCCTGCTGGTCGCTGTCCTAGGACCCAGGTGGCATCAGCTCCTCTGGGGTCCTCCAGCAGCTGGGCAGTCCTCCTTGCTAAGCCAGCGCAGGATCCAGCTTCTAATTGCAGCCGCAGGTTCACGAAGCCGGGGAAGCGGAGATCCCGTCGGGTTTCAGCTCCGGGGACAGATCTGGCTGCGACTGAGAGCAGGAGAGCACCGCCTATTTGTAGAAAAGCAAACGGCCTTCGTTATTAATAGCGGCAGCCCCAGACGCCGCTAAATCGGAACGGGTTTGCAACTGCCTGATTAGCTCTGCCGGCAGCGCAAAAACAACCGGGCAGCTTCGCTTCTGAGCCCAGCCAGCGCCAGGTGCTGGATTCCCCCACAGACCCCAAGGGGAAGATATTCCATAGGCCAAACAGCCGGGACGCTGCTCGACAGATGCCAGTTTTGCTAGTGCCAAGGGGAGACTGGGCAGTCAGCCAGGTGTGAGTGGGCAGGTACGTCTGCGCTGCGGAGCTAACTTGGGCATCTGGGTGTCCGCACGGATGCTTCCTGGCTGCAGTTTGGTGGTGCTTTATGCCTGCACTGCCTGGCCTGGTGCAGAGATGGTTTCGGGTGGGCTGGGGAGAGGTGAGTGCACCCTGCCGCGAACTCCTTGGCAATAAGTGCTGTCCGGGGCCACAATCTGGGCACTCAGGTCCTCTCCGGCCAGTGATTCCCATCACTCTCATGTCCGAGGTGCCCGTTCCTTTGGTGTCGTAGCTCCAAAGCCCTTCCCTGACCCTGCTCCCAGTGCCGTCCCTGTGTCTGGACTCCCTGCTGTAGGATCACGCAGGTCTGTGCTTTCCTCCTCAATCTTGCCCGCTCACCAGGTGCCGGCTTGGGCCCTGGGAAGTAGCAGGGAGACGGATGCCAACCCAGTGGCGGCCTTGACCGCGGGAGCGCAGGGTGGGCGTCTGGGGAGGGGCGTCGGGAGCCTCTCAGTTCCGGCCGCTTCACCAGCCGTGACGGGCAATCGGAAACAACAAACCCGGTGACCTTTGGTCTCCGGAGGCGGCCGCACTTCCTCGGAGCTGGCCTCTTTAATGAAGGGCTTCCGTTCGTGCGCGGCCACCCCAGTGCCCCTCGCTGCCGCCTCTGCCCCTATCCACGCGGTTGCTCAGGACCTGGGTGTGATGGTCAGCGCAGCTTGGGCTGGGATCCTGGGTTCGTACGGGCAAGCCGGGCTCTCGGGGGCAGCAGACAAGGGGTCCTTTGAGACTGTACTGCGGGGTCTTGGACCTCGAATATCCTCTGGCTGTTTCCACTGTGCATGCTGCCTTGTCTGGTCCCAGGTCTCCCCAGTCAGCACCCAGAGCCTGGGCCTGTTTTATCTGAATGGAGTCGCTCCTTTGGCTCCAGCACTGACCCTGGGCAGCAAAGAAGCTGGGATACAGCAGTGGTTAGACCGGCTCTCTCGAGACCCATTACAGAGAGCGGATGCAGGAGGCCTGAGAAGCCCAATTCATGTTTGTTTGTGGTGGCTAGGAGGGAGCGGGCAGAGGGCGGCAGCTGGCAGGATGTCCCCGAAAGAGGCTGCAATCTCGGGGCTTTTCCTAAAGCCCATCCCAGCAGCACAGTTTGATGGACCAGGAAGCAGGAACTCTCGACTCCAGGGCCTAATCCTAGCTTGGATGCTGCTTAGCACCTCAGTTCCCCCGTTGCAAATAAGGCTGCCAACGCTTGCTCCCCCTCTCCCCAGCCGTGGCGTGAGGATGAGCCATTTCCCGGCTGCTCCAAGCGCCGCGGCGAGCGTGCCAGACGGGTGTGCTGGGGATCAGGCGTTCTGCTGGCCGAGCCCCACGAGCGGCTGCACGGCAGCTCGTGAGCTCCAGCCTGGGTGGGCATGAGCTAACATGGTACAGGGGCGGGGGAGCGTGTCTGGGCGTCTGGATGGAGCAGGGGCTTCTGGTGCCTGGAGTAGGAGTTTCCTGAAAGGGCTCTGGAAGCTCCCCCTGCCCGGCCCCAGGCCTTTTCCAGCAGTGCCTCTGCAAGCCAGATGCACGCGCTTGCGGGCATGCTGGTGTTACAGCCGCACGCTCCAGGCCTCAGCGTATGCTCCCCCCCGAATACACACGCTCACCAGCCACCAGGCACGGGCTGTCCTCCTTCCCCAGCTCCCACCCACCCACCTACATTCCTGTCCACGAGCTCAAACCCACCCGCATTCCCCTGCGCACACGCCCTCCACATTCTCACATGCCCTTATCATCTGCACCTGCACCTGCACACACGCATGCCACGGCTCCCCTGGCTGCATTCTCTGCCTCGCACACGCACACACCCTGCCCCCCGCCTTATTCATGCCTGCACAAACACGGGGCTGTACGCCCCCTCACGTGTGCACCCCACCCATTGGCATGGATGCTTGCCATGCGCGTCGCATGCCGATGGGCTCGGCCTTTGCATGCTCGGCGGGGCAGGGCTAACGCAGGCGCAGAGCATACCGTGTGCGGTGTGCCTGGACATGGAGCATCGGCATGGCATGGGTGCTTGCATGCAATGTGTAGTGTGTATGTAGGTAGGGTACATACTGAGCACGTGTCCATATGCACCTGTGTGCCCATATATCCCACTATGCATGCATACACACACAGTATGCGCACACACCCTCTTTCCTTCCTCCTGGTGTAGCTTCCCTCTGGGCCCAACCCTGAGTCCTCAAACCTTCCTTTGGAAGCAGGTCAGGTAGGAAGGCAAGCTGGCGAGGGGGTGCCAGGAGAGGACAGATGGACACAGAGCAGGGACGAGACCAGCTCCAGAGCAAGGGCTGCGGGCAGGAGACCAGTCCACCATCGAATCGCTTCCATCTGCGCCGTTCAGTCCCTTCTTTCCCCTCTAATCCCTTTGCTTTTCTCTGGCATCAGTGGAAGGGGCCGGGAGCTATTGTCTGCCTCTGTGCTCCCAGCCATCCCCCTTTCAGGTGAGAGAGCTCAGTGTAACCACTAGGCTGAAGCCCCCAGGGGCCCACTCTTCAAGGACCACACAGGCCCAGGGGCCACGGAGGTCAGAGAGATCTGGATGATCTAACAGCAGGGTCAGTTCCTCCAGGTCAGGGACTGCGGTTCGGCTAAGCATACAGACACGCCGGCTAATTAAGGAGGATCAAGGCGGGGGCAGTACAGGTCAGGGACCGGCTGCTTGTTCCTGACAAGCGGAGGTTTTGCTTGGATCCTGCCAGCTTTGCTCCCAAGAGAAAATCCTCGCATGCAGCTCCAGGACTTTGAGCGTGTGGCATGAAGGCCCAGGCTTCCCTCTCTCTGAGCATGCAAAAGTGGCTGGGATATTTGAACCAAAGCTGAGCAGAGGGAGCTCCCAGCCCAGGGAGGATCATTGCCCATGGGATGGACACGGCCCCTCCGGGAAGTGACCGTGCTGCCTTCCACTTCAATGGGGCAGCAACCTGGAGACTTCCATCATCCAGATAGGAAATGAAGCCCAAGGTTCACATGACTTAGCAGCTGCCTTCGTTTCCTCCCCCAGGGCCCTTTGGCCGCCTCTCGCTGCATCGATTGTACCCGATCCTTGGACAGGTGCATACGTTCCCAGTCGCTTTGCATGGTCCGTCCTGGGCTCTGAGGACAAGCCATTGCTACGGTGGACGTCATGGTGCACCGTGAGCTGCACCAGCTGCATCTGCTCTTCACCAGGCTCCGTCGTGAGCTAGTGTAAAATCAAGGATGGATAATTGCCAAGATGAGTGTCTTTGTCCAAAACTCTGGGCCAGCCTCCACAGGGGACAGGGGACCTCTGCTACTGTCAGCACTGAGCTTGCACCGGCCTGGTACTGAACCAAGGTCTGAGCACGCTTGGTGTTGTACTAACAGAGTGAAAGGCTGGATCCTGCCCCAAAGAGCTGGCCATCTAAGCATAATGCAAAGACAAATATCACGGAGCAGGGAGAAAGGGAACCAGATGAGGTGGCACACCTATACTGTGTCCCCAGAGCCATGGGACAGGGGCACCCATGCACCTGCCCCTGGCTCACACCCATCCAACCTGGAAATAATACCCCAGGAAGGAGAGGGCTGCTTTGATTCCTGCAGGCCTGAGAGCAGCTGAAGGGGGGATCCCTGGAGAGGCATGTCTCTGCTTGGTGCCTCTGAGCAGGCAGGGGTGCTGGGGGCATGCCCATTGAGCCTGGCTCAGCTCCCGAGGGCCTGACCCGTTCGCCGTGAAAGCTGGAGCCCTCCCGCTCGTTCCGTCTCAGCGGCTGCCTACGAGCAGGGGGACAATAGCTCTGAATGAGAGGCTCTGGGAAACCTTGACACAAGAGGATTCCTCCAGGGCCTTCAATAGAGCCGGGCTCTTCAGCCGGCTAAGACGACGGGAAGAGGGCGGTGACCACGCAGCTGCGGCTGTTTTGTGGAGAACCCTTCCTCTCGCCTGCGTTCAAACAGATTCGTGTTGGGGAAAAAAAAAAAAAATCAAAAGGCTCCTCTTGGGATTAAGTACCGTCTCACCCCAGGCCAGACCGGTGAGGGGCCCCTGGCCTTGTCCCCTTTGTGGAGAGCATTTAAAAGAGGAAGAAAGAAAAAAAGGAGGGATGGAAACCCTGCTCCTTTGAAGCCGCCAAAACCCATCGCTTGGAGCATCATCCGTCAGACCCGGCCTGTCTCAGCCGCCGACTCCCACCGTTCATGGCAAACAAAGCTGGCTCAAGGCCTCGCCCGCCAGGGAAGACCAGGTTGGAAGCAGCTTGATGATTTGTCCTGCATTTGACTGAAGCTTGTCAGAGCTGAAACTCAAGGAGAAAAGCCGTCCCAGCGCTCTCAAGTTGGGGGAGGAAGGAGGTGAGGGAAACCAGACTCCTCGGCCCTGTTCCTGGCTCTGGTGAGGATGCATTGGTTGGAGCAGGGAAGACCTGAGAGTCGGGATGCCTGGGTCCTCTTCCACGGCAGCAGGCTGTGTGTCAGGACAGCGGGCCTTTATGTCCGCTGTAGCGAGATGTAGAGCCGTGGTGCCCAAGCTGCGCCTGCAGAGCCGTGGCAGACGTTCAAGGCTCTGCATCCCCCCATCAATCACAGACGTGACAAGCGGGTGCGATGATCCATATACACAGGAATGCTATGACCGTCAAAAAACCTGAGTGTCACTGGGCCAGAGGCCACATCCGGAGCCTGAGCCTGGATTCCCCAATTCCACCGAGAATTTGACAGTGCTGCTGGGTGAGAGAGATCATGAAAGCACATCGAGCAGCTACATGCAGGGGGAAGACAGGCACTGATCTCATTCTGTCCGGGACAGGACCCTTCCAGGGGATGCAAAGCCCCCTCTTTTCTCCTTTGGAAAGGCAGAGCACTGGCATTATCCTGCTAGCGTCTCCTGCCCCAGCGATCAGGAATATCGGGATAGAGCTGTCTCCAAGCCAGGTCTGTGGCCTCGGGAGGCTTGGTGAGCTGGAGAATAGTCCACATGTTGGATGCCTCCTCTGACCCAGCCGCCCTTGGGCCACGTCCCAGGCTGGAAGGAGTTACTCTGCCAAAAGCAGCACCTGGCCGTGGACCTTGGTCCAGGCCAGAAAAGTGCCCCAGGCAACATCTCCAGACACCCAAATGATGGGATCAGAGAAGACAACTCCCTCTGCCAGCTTACAGGGCCCTCATTCATCCCCCTGCCTGGCCTTCACCTACCCCTGCCCTCCAGACGCTCGCCAAGCACTGGTGGAGCTCAGCATGGCTGGCCCCGCCTGGCTGGGCTCCCGTCCAGCGCAGGCTCCTGGCACGGTCAGGCGAGTGCCAGGCTCCTAGGCACCAATGCCATCATGTGGCCGAGAGGGCAGGGCTGTCTCTGGGGATCCTGCTAACAGGCGGCTCCAAGGAGCCATTGAAGGAAAGCGGGAGATGATGAAGGGGAGCAATTTAGCAGCGTCCTGGTTTTTGTTCGCTGTCTCACGGTATCACACCTTCCCCATCTGTCAGCTGAGAAATCCATATTCTCTCCAAGCCCAACGTGCTTTGGGATTTGAGAATTAATCTAGCAGCCAGGGGCCTTTCTTTCTCAAAACTAGCCACAGTTAAGCCCAGCTGCTAACCACTAATTGCTGCTGCCAGCCTGCCACTACAGCAAATTATTCATTTTGCCGTAGTTTCCAGCTGTATAATGATGCAGACCTCTGTGTAGAGCCCCGAGCTCTGTGGAGTGACAGAGAGCTACGGAAGAACCAAGGATGGTTACTTTAAAACCAAAAGCACCCTCAAGGCTTTCCCTGCATTAAGCCTAGACAGGGACAAGCCAAGGTTTGCACTGATTAAACTAATCAAGACCTACAGTTGCTTGTGATTAGCTCAGCAAGCTCCATTAGCGTCCTTCTCTGGGGCTCCCAGGGCATTTTGTACTGTCAAAGCGAGGCCCTGTCCCCCCCCGGAGACGGCTCTATTCCCATGTCTGTCACTGCCTCAGTTTCCCATTTCCCTCCTGCCTCAGTTTCACCTTCCACCCCAGGTCTGCCTCAGTGACTTTAAAAGGTCTTTGGGGCAGGGGCTCTGTTTTATACCTACACTGCTTAGCTCGATGGGGGCATGAGCAGCAATCCAACTGCAGTAAAGAGATAAGCCAGGCAGAAGTCCCATGAGAACAACCCACAGGGCAATGCCCACTGCATCCCCACCCTACTTTTATCAGCTGTGTCTATTCAGGCTGTTGACTTTGAGCCAGGAGCCATCACCTTTCCCACTGCCTCTGCTTGAGACCAAGAGGCTTCAATGGAGCAGTTTAGTCATTCACAGGTTCATGTCCTAGCATCACTGTCCTGCCAAGTGATAATGTCCCGCCACCAGCTAAGGAGCAAAGCTGCCTTGGAGCACCGGGTTTCAGCAGCTGGCTGTCACCTTTCTGACCCTCTGGTGTGGGGATGGACCCTTGGGAGACATTCAAAGATGTGTTTGGTAGCTGTGTTAGTCTGAGACAAAAAGAAATGCAAAACTCAAGAACTCTTTATTCAGAGATGATACCTTTTATCAAGCCTCCCAGGGCTGGTAGTAGGTGAGCAGAGGTCAGCAGAGCTGGGCACCACGGGTGTGAAGGGAGATGGTCAGAGGCTGCTGTGCTGCTAGGGATGAAGATCCCTTCAGAACTGTGTACAACGGACTTAATCCCTAGTATCCTAACCAAGTTCCCACCAGTGCTTTCAATGGTATCAAGGACCCCTTGTTCGTTCTAGGCCCTTCTCCATACTGTTACAGAGGGCTGTTAACCAGCTGCCACCTTCCACCCCAGAAGTGGCTGCATTTCAGTAGCAAGCAACACACTCCCTTGTGCTGTCTCATGTAGAGCCATTGCACTCAGACTCGCTGAGGCTATTTGCTATGTAGGGAAATCATATACACCTCCCCACACACACGCACAGATGGGGCTTGTGCCATACCACGCTGGATCTCAGCTTGCAGGACCAGGAAGCATGGCTGTCCTCAGTGGCTGTCCCTCTGATCCGTCCCTGTGTCTTCCTCTCTCCCCCTCCAGACATCGTGGAGATCCGCTCGGTACGTGTGGGTGTCGTTGCCATCAAGTCTGTGCACACGGGCTTCTACTTGGCCATGAACAAGAAGGGGAAGCTCTACGGGTCGGTAGGTACAAAGCCGCAACTCTTCTTTGACCTCCGTGTCTCGCTCGCGGCACTTATGGTCTGTAGCTCCCTCCTGGCTGGGAATCGGATTGGTAACCGAGAGCCTGTGGTGTAGACGCTGGCAGGGCCCCGTTCCAGGATGCTGTATCTGATGCAGCGAAGAGGAGTGGGCCTACATTGCAGGAAGGAAGCCCTTGCTCTTGGGGGAGGGACTGTAGTGGGGCAGGTGCAGGGAGGGTGCACAGTGCCAGAGAGGCTGGGAGCAGACCCCAGGTATCTGCCTGGTCCCTTGTTGTAACTGCTGCCTCCCAGAGCCATGGACAGAACAGGGCAGTCCCTGGCAGGGCCCCAGTCTCAACCCCAGACCTCCTTGGCCTCCAGGAGCTGGGGGTTGAGAAGCCGGAAAGTCCTCACTCTGGTTCTTGTGCTCTAACCCCTAAACTTACTCCCTTCCCAGAGCAGAGGACAGATCCCACACTCTGCATCCCTGCCTAAAGCTTAGGGGAGAATCCAGGAGTCCTGATGATCTCACTCCTGCTTGAAGCAATTAAATCAGAATCACTCAAGCACCCGGAGCCCAGAACTCCCCAGCAATACCCTTGAGAGACTAGACAGAGCCCCCAAATCCCCACACTGACCCCCTCTCCCCGTCTCACCAGCGGGCATACAACCCCAACTGCAAGTTCAAGGAGCGCATCGAGGAGAATGGCTACAACACCTACGCCTCGCTGCGCTGGCGGCACCAGGGCCGCCAGATGTTCCTGTCGCTCAATGGCAAGGGGGTGCCTCGGCGGGGGGACAAGACGCGGCGCCAGCACCTCTCCACCCACTTCTTGCCCATGCTCGTCTCCTGACACCTACTCATTTTATAGCTGGGACTTCTTGTTGCTATTTATTTTTAAATGAAAGCACAGGGTGAGGGAGAAACTCCCCTTCCCCAGGCACTGGGAGATAAAGGATTCCTACAAGTGCTTCTTCGGAGCTAGCAGTGGTTCACACTAGAGACACCAGCTCCTGCCTGGAGACCTCAACTCAACGTACACCCAACTTGGGTCATCCCAGAGACACCAGCTCCTACCTGGAGACCTCAAATCTACACTGACCTGTTTTAGGTTATGCTAGAGACCCCAGCTCCTACCTGGAGACCTCAACTCTACACAGACCCATCATGGGTCATCCTAGAGATCCCAGCTCTTGCCTGGAGACCTCAACTCCATATAGACCTATCTAGGAGACCCTACCTGTACGCAGCCCCTTCTCGATGGCTGACAGCCCCCGAGTCTCATGCAGCAGGTCGCAATGAAATGGCCCAAAGATCTATGAACAACCAACCGTACACAACATCCCCTCCAAGAGAGTGAAACCACAGAGGTGGGAGCAGCCAGAGACTTTGGGGGGCTTTCGATTTGGTTTTAAGATGTATGTGTGCTTATATTTATTGTATCATATAAGGTCCATGGAAATTAAAGAGGTATTTCTTACAGTAACCCAGGGGCTGCACCTTGGCCAGAGGCAATGCTTGCGACATCTGCTTACGCCAGTCTGGGTCCTTTGGGCACGGTCAGCTGCAAGGCCTTCTGTCAAAGGTGCTGGTTGTGCGGAGGAGGGGGAATGCAGCTGTATCTGGTGTGGAACGCAGTTACAGTCCGAGCACCTTCCTGAAGCAGTAGGAGAAGCTCAAACCACCTTTGAGGTGCCTGTGAAATGCTTTGCAAGGGTCAATGTTAGCTGAGGGGAGCACAATCTGAGGATAGCACAGGCAGCCAGGATGGGAGTTTGCTCAGAAGAGCAGAGCCAGAGGCTTGCTGCTCCAAAAAGCAACAGGATCTAGAAAGAGATGGCAGGAAACAGGAGTCAGTGGATCAGGAACAGCAGGGTCCCCCCATTGAAGAGAAAGGGGTTGACCCTGCATTCATGCTGGCATGGTTGAAATGGGTACGCAGGTCAAAGATGGCTCTACAGCACCAAGTGGTTAGCAGACAGACCTGCACGGCTCCTGCCGTTCACTCAACTGTCCTGGTCACCCCAAGGAGGGAGCACAGACCCTAGGAAAAGGGGAAACCAGGTCCCTGCTTGAGCTATCACTTGCAACCGGAGTCACTTGCCAGAAGGAACAAGGACTAGAGAAGGACTGTGATAAGATAGCAAGTGAGTCCAGGGCTCACCCACAGCACAAACAAGTCCCAAGAGGCCTTGGAAAGGCAGGGCCCAAGGGATGGGTCTGCTTTGACAGCAATCCTGAGGAGTCTCCCCAGTGCTGTGCCTGAGCACTTGAACTTCATCCTCAACAACACTTCCGCGAAAGATAAGGGCAAGTGCAGGGGACAAAAGGGCCAGAGCACAGTCCTCTGTGGCAGGAGTGGAGTTAGCGACAGCCAGGTCTGGATTCCCGTCCTACCCAGGAACTCTCGTTTCCATCTGAGTGTCCCTAAGGGACAAGCGCTACCATGGCCCTGTTTGGCCTGTAAGGAAACTCCCTTGCCCAGCATCAGCAACAGGAGCTGGAGCTGCAATTTGGGACCCCTTTGTCCTCCACCTTGCATGCAAAGCCTGTGCTGGAGCTGCAGCCTTTCCCCAACACTTGGCCCATGACTGACTCTCCCTCGGGCTGGCCTTCCTGGTCTGGCCAGGGGCACGCAGACAGAAGCGGGGAAGCCAAGAGGGTTTTCTGATGCGAGATATAGGCAGAAGCACAGGCCTGGTCCTTGTGGGACCCAGCTGTGTCAGAGTGATCCCGGTCAAGCTGAGACACCTGGGGAGCACAAGGTGGGAGCAGTGAGCCATGGCATCTTGAATATGAACAAACACACAGCTATTGCTCAACCCCAGACCCCTCCAGACATGCTGGGGCACACGGTGCAGCAGCAAAACCCAGTGGTCCAGGAGAGGGTAACATCTAGCAATAGAACAAAGTCTCCAGTCACAGCTCAGTGCTCTCCCAGTTAGACCACACACCAGGAAGCCGAACTGGCAGCCTTCCCTGGGACAGCCCAGCTTCCTTTGTGCCACAAGCTGCTGGCACGTGGACAGGGCGCTCTTCACTGTGCTGTTGACAGTCTCCAGTGCCGAGGCGGCACTGGGCCATGCCCAGCACATCAAAGACTCTGCTGTAGTCTGGGAAAACAAGTTGAAGAACAGCTGCTTGGTGCTAATCAATGCACTGCCTGCCCTGGCAGCACTTCCTAGGCCTGGAAGAGGTGGAAGGAGAAATCCCTGTGCCACCTCTACTCAGAGCTGGCAGCTCCCAGGAGCAGGCTGGCTTGTCTGTAACCGGAAGGCAGGGCAGATATGCCCCTTTCTAGACTAACCAACTAAGATGTATGGAGACAGGCAAACTTTTGTGAGCCTTTGTAGCCACCCAAGCCTCCACAAATGACTCTTCGAGGGAACGAGAGGAAGAAAGGCTGCGTACGCCTCCCACAGGCAAGCCTGTGGGATGTCTGAGATGCCCACTGCACAATGAAGCTAGAGAGCATATTTTGGCCAAAAGACCTTGCAAGAGTTTTCCCTCCCTACAAGCACCACACAATGTGGGAGGGATGCTTTAGATGTTACTGCTTCATTGTGCCCAGGTGATGAACACTGATGCACTGAAATCACTCCAGCCCCCAGGGAGACGCTGCTGTTTAGGAAGTGCCTTGTTTTCAGGCTTCTGCCGGGCTATTATCCCCATTTTGCAGATGGGAATAGTGAGGCCCAGGCACCCCGACAGCTTGCCAAAAGCCTGAGGAAACTGAATCCCTGTCTCCAGGGTCTGTCATGGGGAGACCCTTCCTCGGCCCAGTCCTTCAAAAAGGACAGAAGCTTCCTCTGAAGAAACCGTTTGGGCGAATGAAGCAATCTGGCCGGTGAAAGACAATGCGCCGGCTGGAACCAGAAGCCACCTACGCAGGTCTGTGACAAGGCACACTGCTACAACACCCCTTCCGAGCCCCAAAGTTTCAGGGTCATTTTGCAACGCCAAAAATGTACGCTGGCCTGAGCAGAAACCACCGAACTTGTTCCGTTTGTTACCAAACCAGATTTCAAACCCGTCTGCGCTCCAGAGAGAAAGCATGTGCGTTAACCCTGTTGTGGCTGATGCTAAACAGACCTGGGTCTTGCATCACACCAGTAAGGACTAGGATGCCTGGAGAGGCCTCCGTGATTAACTCTTCTCACACGCTGCCATCCCGTGTGTGCCTCCAGCACCTCCTTTCTAAAGGATGTCCAAGTGTCTTATTCCTCTGCATAAATACCTGCATGGTACCTCTACGGAGGTAGAAAGTCCTCCTATTTTACAAGCAGGAAGATGGAAGCACAGTAAGCACATAGGATCATAGAAAATTAGGGTTGGATGAGACCTCAGGAGGCAATTGAGTCCAACCCTCTGCTTAAAGCAGGACCAGCCCCAACTGGATCCCAGCCAAGCCTTTGTCTAGCTGAGTCTTAAAAACCTCCAAGGATGGGGATCCCACCTCCTCTCTGGGTAACCTGTTCCAGTGGTTTACTATCCTCATGCCTCAGAGGTCTCAGTCTGTGGAGGGGAAGTAGTGCTTTTGGTCTCTTGGGCATATACTTCAATGCCATGGCTTCTTCTGTCCATCTTGATCTCCACTCCATGCTTCCTCAGTAGCAAGCCTGCTAGGTGTGACGATAAGCACAGCAGACCTGCTGACAAAGCTTCTGGCTCCTCATCCAGCTAAAGTATCAAGCCACCAACCCTGACGTTCCAGTCCAAGAAAACAACCTCATCGCAGAGGCACCAACCTCTGGAAAGATCAAAGGAGCCATTGACCTACACTTGTCAGGCTGGCAAAGGTGACTGGAGAAACATGTTCCAAGACTGTTGCTCAGGCCTGGATCCCTTTGGCTTCGCTCCATCAGATCCAGCTACTAGAAGCCTGGACGAGGTTTTGGCAGCTGCTTGCTGCTCTCCACATTGGGGATCTTCTCCAAAACATTTTAGCAGCTCATTTTTTTTTAAATCATGGCAGAGTTTAAGAGGCCCTGGGCAGACACAAGGGGCAAAAAGACCCCTGCACTTCTATCCTCCCACAGACAGGATTCCAGTTGCAGACCTGTGCTTGGGCTTTGAGGCAAAGGCATCCTTAGACTTCCCCCACCACATAACCAAGCTAAGAGGGGCTGTCACCCTAAATGTGATGTAACCTAATGAACTAGAGGGAGTGACTGCACCTCAAGCCAGATTTTCCTCAGCTCAGTACCTACAAGCTCGCACCAAGAGCACCTGAAGCCCTGGCCGCATGCCTACATAGAAGCAGAACTCTTTGGAGAAACCTATACTTTACGATAAGGTCCTATTCCCCATATCTGATGGCAAGGAGGGGTCCTCGATCCTTTTCAAAAGCCTTAGCTGCTGCCGCAGTTACAGTCCATTCCTACCACGTGATGTTCAGACCCCACCTGTGCTTTCATGGTGCAGCTCTTTTATCGGCAATGACCCTGAAGTTGTCCCTTCTCAACAAGGCAGGGCTAGAATTCTCTCTTTCTGCAATGCATCTCTAACTCATTTGTGGTGCGCAAGGCATGTCGGGCATTTCCCTGGACAATCTGGGTGAGAGGCAGGGTGACGATGAACGTCGGAAGTGTAGAAGACACCCTCTAGAAGTGCTGCCGCAAGTTCTGGCTCTCCTGGCCCCCTGCGGGCAGTCAAACACAAACAGGAAACAGGTCAAAAGTTACAAGAGCAGAAGCCAACCGAGAAGGGAGATCAGCGTGTTTAAAATAATACCACTGACCCAGATGGCTTCACACGGCAAGTCGGCTCTGTGGTATGTCACCGGGACTGATGGCACGGGTGCCTGATTGCTCAAGTCACCCTGCCCTGGCCTGCCGTGACACAAACTGGGGCATCAACCTGGGGCTGGCATCCCCATAGTCTCTGCTCCTCCTTCATTCCACAGCCCAGCTCCTTCCTGGTTGCATTCTAAACCGTTTAGACCACAGCTGAGTTTCTGTGCTTGAGTCATTAAAAGAAACTCCAGCGAGAGACTGCTCTGGCAGCCGAGCAGTCACAGACGACAGGGCTCATTAGAGAAAGGGGCAGGGGCAGCTTTATGCAATGGGAACCAGTAAGGAGGGCACAGGGAAACTCCAGCTGCGATCAAAACACAGCCTGAGAGGTTCTGGCCCAGTCAACAGAAGGGGGCACTGGAAATATATTGCGGAAATACAGGGATGGTTCAAACTGATGTTTCTAAGAATTACAGAGTCAAATCCCCGCTTGTTCCACCTTGGTACTTATTGTCCCAGCGGATGATAAACTGGGTGCAACAAGGACAGGAGGCAGGTGGGCATTTGTTAATGATCACAGACTGCAACAGGGTTATCAAACTCCTCAAGCTCGCTTGACATCCTACAGCAGCAAGCGTCAAACATACAGCTATAGGGCCGCTCTACTCTGTGACTTATCTTTATTACTCGGCCCTCCAGCTCATTCACAAATCTGGGAAAGCCTTGTAGCCCTCTCAGTTGCAGAGACGAGGATTTAACTGATGCAGACAGCTCCAATACATAAATCTGCAGACTGCCCAGCCCAGGGACAGAAGCCAGTTATCACTTATCTCAGTGTGGCGTTAACTCAGACACTTTAGACAATCAACGCTATCTGCTTCACTGCTGGGAAGGGAAGGGATTGACTGTAATGGAGAGGTGGGGAGCCTGGAGTTACCCAAAGGAAGGGAATGCACCAGGGACAAAAGGGGATTCCCAGAGAAAAGTGGAAAGAAAGGGAGAAAGAGCACTGGTCCTAACATTGACAGTGTTGCTTTCCTGTTCTGTGTGGCAAGAGCCAAACAGGAGCCGAATTATAGACTGGATTCTCCCCTCAGTCTCTGTGCAAATGGGCATCACAGACCTAGGGCAATGCTGGGTCCCAGAATTCACACCCTGAACCAGTCAGAGACAGATCAGGCCTTTGACCCATTTGCCCTATACCCATAAAAAGCCTTCCCAGGAATGCTGGGTTAGTCAGGTAGATGCACAGCTCATCCAACTGCCAGGACATCCCCTGCAGAAAGAAGAGGTGACAGCCTGCAGCTGGAACACATCATCCGTATCATCCCAGTGCAGCTCCCAAAATATTTTCCTGGTCTCTTGGCTCCACCTAACGGCATCGCGCAGAACTGCCACAGGGAGCCGGCAGGCTGACAACAGCAGCAAGGGTCTACCGGGTAAAAAGCTAACATGGGGTATTATGACCCAACACTTGTTCCTGTTGATGATCTATTCAGGTCCCTTCTGACCCTAGAAACTATGAAACATGCCACCTGCCACTTGGAGAAAGGGTGTCTTGCCACAAGACCCCATCCAAGAAAAGCTGCTCTAGCAGAATTCCTGTCCCCTCTGCTTCATGCATGCACTTCTCTGCAGACCTTTAGTGCACACTGCATCACACACCCCACCCGGGATCCCAGCTAAGCCTCCAGAACTCCTTGGAGCCAAACTGATCAACACTGCCGGCTCTCACGAATAAGATCAGAGAATCCAGAGTTCTGCTTCAGAAACTCATGTCTGTCTCCTTCTAAGACGCACCACTCAGCATCTAGGATTCAGAACAGATTCCCTACCTGGGTCCCTTCTTTGCCTGTGCAGCTCCAGAACACACCAAACACCATACCATCTTCCAGGGGGATCCTTGGACTCTGTCACTCACATAATCCTGAAGTTGTGTTTGTGGCACAGCTTCCCCCTGGAAGCCTGTACACGTTGCTTTTATTCATCAGGCCAGCCCGGAAAGCCCTTACAGATGCTGTACGGGTTTCTTCTCCAAAGCTTTCAAGTGATTGAAACAATCAATGAAAATCACCCTTCCCCCAACCCACGAGAAGGTAATTGTGAGCAAACCTGAATTTTCTACCCACTGCAGGGTGAATCAGCTTTTAAACAAAAATGCCCCACACAAACACACACACGGTAGAAACCCCACAGAAGAGGAATACAAAAACAGTTGTCCCCACCCCAATTAAATCTAGTTAAGGAAACGGATTCACAAGCATGCCTGGAAGGTTTTAAATCAGCTGTATTTTTTTAAGTAGCTTTGATATACACATTTCTTCCCCTCCCCTCCCCCACCCCCCAATGTCATTCATCATGTATTTTATGTATTTCATTTGATCATGATGGCATCTGTCTGGTCCTTGCTCTGATGCACTTCCAGTCCTGACGTCAGATGCTCCACACAATTCCATCCGGGGTGAGAAGGGCCGGATTGCGACCGGGCAGGATGGAAGGGATGAAAAAATACAAAAAACTGCAGGCCAGGACGCTGCAAAGTTGCAGTCCCGCAGCTGACGACGATTGGCAGGCTGGCAATGTGTGTACGGGGCGTTGGTCACAGAGGAACCCAGGGTTAAAGAGGCATTGGGTGCTGGCAGACGGCACACTGCCGAGGGTTCCACAGTCCCAGTGCAGACTGGATTTGCACTGGGAAAGTACAGTCCTCTCAGAAGAGTTTACCCTGTATTTTTCCACAAATCATGCGTAACTTCTCAGTGAGCTGAAACGTCCATTTATTTAACAGCAGTAATAATTTAAAATTATAAAAACCCTTTCAGTGTCGAATATCAGAAGGGTGAGGTTATCAAGAGAAAAATGAAGGATCAGAGGCAGGGAAAGGGAGGAAGAGTCGGGCCTATTTCAGGACTTCACATTTTGTGGTGGCAACTAGCTAACGCCCACTAGCCCTCCCTGCCTGGAAATCCTGGGAGCAAACCAGAGTATTACACTTTCATTTCAAAGGTTTAAAAATTCCAAAGCAGAAGGGGAGGCGGGGGGGGGGGGAAAAAAAAGAGATATGGAGAAAAAGGAATCTCAAATTCACAACCATACAAACAGCCTTCCCATCCGGAATCTCAGCACCTCAGGTTTCCATTCGAGGACCCCGGGCGGCCTTTTCACTGCAACGTTAAAGAGTCCACGCAGCGACCAAATGAACTCCCAGCCAGAGAGTGCTTGCCCCCACCCCACACTGCAGAACTTGAGACTTCTCATCTCGGAAGAACCAGAGGCCTCTGACATCTTCAGAACTCAGAAGGGGGGATTTGGGGGGTTTCTGCTTCCTCCCCTCGCACCCCTGACCCCACCCTCACTCTGCTCTGGAGGCCCGTAGTTGCTTGTGTTGGCTAGGGAGGGAGGAAGGGCACTGGAAAGCGCACAGGGCCAGGGTAGGGGTGAATGGGGAGAGGGCTGGTTTACAATTCAAGAGTTGTTTGATGAGTTCTCATTACTTGGTGAACTGGAGGAAGAGGAGGAGGAGGACGAGGAGAAGTTCATCCCTGTGAGTCCTGGGGGGTTTGTGGCAGTGTTTTGTCCACTTAAACTTTTCCGGCACACTGGGCATGTGTCGTGCTTTGGGGATTTAAAAAAAAACAAAAAAAAAAACAGGAGAAAGTGTTAGAAATAAAGACATGGGAACAGCACAAGCAACAGTCTAAACTGACCCCAACTGCCTCCTTCCTCAGCGGGTCAAAAGGCTACTTGTGCTTGGGCATCATCAGCATTACACAGGTACATTTACTTAGAACAGCGCTGCCTGGAAAACTCCTGGGTTTTATAACATCCTCCTTGGAGCAAAGTGCCCCGCTCCAGCTTAACTAACCTGTTCCAGCCAGGGGACTATGCAGCCGTTGTGGAATAGATGATTGCAAGGTAACTGCCGGACATTTTCGCCCACTGTGTAGTCTTCTTTACATACAGGACACTCCAACCCAGAATCTGTCAGGTCACAAAGAGAGAGGATGCTAAGAACAAAAGGCTGAAGCAGGCATCCTCTCCCCCCAGCTCAGGAACAGTGCGACAGCTCCCTTCCCCAATTCAACTTTTAACATGTTCCCTTACTGTCCTCCCTTTGCTGACCTGGCTACTGCCCCTTCCAGTCTCAACACTATCAGGTAGAAAGCTTTCCTCTGCCGCCCCACCACCTGGGACTCCACTTATTCCAAAAATCTCCCCACTCTTTTTGTTCCCTCCCTCAGTCTGCTGGGGTACGCGGATTATGCATTATGCAAATATATGTATTTGGGTAACTCTGTCCAGCATCAGGCTATGCTGAAAATGACAGATTGAATGGTTATTCATGGCTAACATTTTTATGCAAGTCACATCACTGACAGCTATAGAGCAATCTCACACTACTGCAAGCAGGCAGCTGCCTGGCATTTTTACTCTGTTGCCTTCTAATCCTGCTGCAGCCAGACAGCAAGGCCTAGCAGTGAGCCAGCAAGAGCTGGAGTATACCACTCTTACCAACAAGCTATAGCAGAGCAAAATCTCCCTAAGATGGAGGATGCCCAGCAGTTCTTGAAGGCTCTGCATTTTTAAGACAGACTGTCTTGGTCTCCTGTTTGATGAGTTCTCCAACATTCACCCACACCCAGCTCTTACAAAATGAGACAGGTTTACTCCCCACTGCAAATCCATCAGTTTTACAGAGCTCTCTTTTTTTCGGCACGAAGAGAGCCCCGCTTCATTCTTCCTTCTGAATTCTTTAGGCCGTCAAGAAATTAGTAGGCAGAAATGAAAAGCCCAAGCAGAAGGCAAACAAAAGCTTTGCAAAGCACTTTGCTGAGGGCTGCAGGCTACATACCTACGTGTTCCTGTGTTATCTGAGTGGTGGGGAGGGCCTGGATCTTCTCCTTGTCTGCTGGAGGCGGTCCGGTATTTTCAAACTGATTTAGTAACTGAAAGAAAAAAGATGGAAGAAAGTGCAGGAACATGAAACATGGGAATCTGCTAGAACACAGCACTGAACCACCACCCCCTCCCCTGCAAACCCGTGTCATGGGGCAGGCCCGGGGGTTGAATGCGCTGGTGCAGCTGCACCCCCTCTATGATTCCTGCTCCACCTAAAAAATTTAAAACCAACTGCATCACACTGGCAGCACCAGTGAGGGAATCTACTGACTTGATGGTTTATCATCAGCTACCCAATTCCTTCTAAACTCTTCATTTCACAAGTGTTAATAACCCTCTCCTCTTTTCCATGGTCTTTCATAGATTCATAGATCGTAGAGTCAGAAGGGACCACAATGGATCATGCTTGACACCCTGCCCCTGGCAGGAAAGAGGACCGAGGTCAGATGACTCCAGCCAGGTGACTATCAAGCCTCCTCTTGATGTTCTACTAATCAAACTAGCCTTTCTTCTGCAATTCTGCTGCCTGTTAGATGCTCCGGGTAAAGCTGCTCCTATGTCACAGCCCGGCAGACTGTTTTTAACTCATTCCAATAAAGTTACATTTGTTTTAGCTTTGATCTTAAAAATGAATACTATGGCTCTAGGCCCCTAGTATACGAGTAAAGCTTCTCGTTTCTTTTTACCTGGAGAAAGATGCATGTTGTGTTATATGGAATGATACACCATACCATCTGCACCCTCCTTTTCAAAATCTTAGATCTGTCCCTGCCACGTCTAACTGCTGCCTAACTCCTGGCGTTTCACAGGTTAAATTCCACATCCATCACAATGGATACGGGTGATTTTGTAGCACTGCGTGGAGGGATAAAGGTTCCCTTGTGTTCTCAGCCCAGCAGCTGGCAACTCTCAACATGAGATTCAACATGCATGCTGTCACATCAGGGTTATAAAACTGTGTGGCATTCCGACTCTGCTCGCTGCAGCAAATTCCACAGGCTGAACCCACACTACAGGGCAAGTTTTCTCTGAATGTTTTTGTCACTTTTCTAATGGGTACCTGGGTTGAAAACCACTGTATGCATATGACAGGTACAGTCAGAAGTGGCCCCTCTACCCTGCTAAATTACAAATAGCTATAAAAACAGGTCAGCTGCATCAGGCAGGTAAACAGTCCTGACTTTCAGCCCATGCCGAGCTCAGACTGAAACATGCCTCTGATCATACTCTTCTTTCTACATGTTCTCAAACAGATTGTTTCCTAAAGGACAGGTATCAAAAAACCTCAGTGGCAGCAGATGAAAAAGAGATGCCTCCTGCCAACACATTTCAGTAGGACAGATCAAGAAACAAGTGACATTACCAGCACAGGCAAGGCAGTGTTAACCAAACTCCCTAGGAAAACATCTTTTTATGTGGGTGGCTGAGGTCTGGAGGAGAACTGGATTCTCACTCTCCGCCAGCCAAGACAGCTGTCAACTCATGTAGACTCTTAGAACAGGGCTCTGATTCAGTACAAACCAGTGTACACATCTCCCCAGCAGCATGAGGAAGGAGGGGCCAGCTTTACCTGTGTAATAATTGCGTCCAAGCCGTTGGCACCCCAGGCATAGTCCATTGGATTTGAATGCAAGACTCCCCTTCAAGAAGAAAAGCAACAGGATATTAGTTTCTGCCATGGCTGTAAGCCAGAACACCCTCAAAAGGAGCAGCTTGTCGCTCCAACTCACCAAGGACCTATTCCTAGGTTCGGTATGGTAGTAGGTGCAATAATTCCATTCACCAACTGCTGTATAATTCTGAAAGACAACAATATTAAACACCGCATAAGAACTAGAATACATCAAACCACCCTGAGATATATATATAGTAGCTAGAAAGATATCTGGCCTTAGTTGGGGCAAAACTGAGGGCAAGACTGGTGACTACTTCATCCTGTGGCAAGAACTTGGAGGATTTTATCTGGAGAGGGACTCTTTCCGACGTGAAGGCAGGAAGGAGCCTCTGGGGCATACTCAGAGAAAAGTCTCTAGCACTTATTCTCTAGCACTGATGACAGCAGCATTTCCAGCAGCCGACTGCAAAGCACATCGGGCCAGCGATGCCCAGGAGAAATCCAGCAGTGGCAGGAAAGTTTCATGCCACTCTCCTTCCAAGGAACATAATGGACTATATTCTTAAAGAAAAGAAACACGGCACATGAATGGCTGCTTAGCCTGACAGCTCCTGAGGGTAAAATCTCCCAGGCATAGTCTTTTCCTTGGGAGGGAGAAGCTGCAGGTTTAAGTATTGTAGAGCTCATGAAAATGAAGCCGAGCTAGTCAGTTTGATTCACGATCAAAGCCAAATTAAGGGTTCTAATCCTGGATGAAATCTCCCGTTCCAGAAGAAGCGGTTTGAATAAGATGAAGTCAGGCATCTATGTAGGCTAATCAACCCCGACAGGCCTATTTAAAAACAGTCTTTAGGAACAGAATCTTCCTCAGAGAGAGATAATACATCACTGAGCAGGGCACCGCGAAGCTGTTCTCACCCTTCTAGCGTGGGAACTCCTTCATGCCTGCCAGCGGCACGCCGTGCGGTGAGACGGGCTCGGGGCTGCCGGGCCCCATATCGGTGCCGAGATTGGTGCTCCCTCTCCCGACGGTTCTCCGTATCCCTGTTGTCTTCAGATTGCACATTGGACCCAAAAGCAGGGAACTCAAAGCTGTCATCGAAAATCCCAAAGGCAAATTGGCCATACCCCTGTGGCAAGGTGAATAAGTGCTGATCCACATTCTGTACAGAAAACATGCAAGAAGGCAGGCTGGTTACAAAAAGGGGGCTTAATCTTTTTCTTCTCCTACTGATACTGAGGTTCTCATAAAGGCCTCCGAAGAGAGCAGCCCACTCTCTGCTGATACCAACCAGCGTCAAGATGTAGCAGATGGGCTTAGGCTGAGAAGCAACTCCATGGTGAATAAATAGCACAGGCCAAAATTAAGCACAGCAATAGGAACCAACAATGTGTGACTGCTGCAGCTAACTGCTGACTTTTTAATTGCAACCACTGCACCACAACACCCTGGCAAACAGTTCAATATAACGATAGCACAGCTCCTCCTAACAATGACTGGGTATGTGGGCCAGAAGCACTAAAAAAGGAACCTGCTGACAACAACGCCATATTACAGGCATCTACACAGTGGCACTTTGATGATACTAGCCCCAAACATTGGGCAGAGTCCAAGGGGCACAGACCTGGAGGGGCTATGAAACAGCTATCACTCACCTCGAACGGATGCCTGCTCTGATCGCTGGTTGCTGTGGAAGAGCTGGACCCATTGTCAGCATTCCTGAGAAGAGCAAACAGCATTGGTTAGCTTCACAAATACCAGCCTGCTGGAACAGGTGACGGGGAAAGGCTTTTTCAAGGGAGGGAAGCAAGGAATGTGGCCTCAGCAAGGAGAACAGACAGACGGCCAGCATAGCAGGTCACCATCATAGGGATTTATGTTCTCATCAGCTGCTGTTCTCCGCCATAATTGCACACATTATGGTATGAAGCATTTTCATTGCAGTCCCTTCTTCCTATGTTCAGACCCCCCTGCCCCCCTCAGATGCGTCTTCCCACTTTAGCTGCACAGTAGCAACTTTTCTGGTGAAGACCATCTGTAACACAGCACCTAAAGATTCACCACTACCTGCCATACCCTTTTGCAATGCAGCTCAGTCCCCTGGAGCACCGGGAAAGCTTTAAGCGAGCACTACGTATCTACGTATTACAATTCAAAGTATGGCTTAACGCTGCCGTCATAAGCCAGCCCACTGAAACAAATCCACTTGTCTGTCTTGCAAAGTCACGTGACCAGGGGATGAACCCTGATCAATAACTGGAAAAGAATCATTAGCATCACTTGGCCGCATGCTTGCAAAGAGCTGTAGGAACATCCTTCAGCCCTCATTACCCACGCCTGTGCTAGCTTATCGTTATTTAATAACAGAGCAAATGATGATGCAGAGACCAAGTCAGATCAAGTCACTGACACTGCTAGGATTGATATGCAGACTCAGGATTAGGCTATCAGACCAATGCTGCCTTTTAGTGGAGGTGGGCCGTTCTATAGCATTGGAAAACCAACTGCCTTAAGTTACAGGAATACCTAATTACTCTACTGATGTGAGCAAAGTCTTGCTTATACGTCAAAGAACAAAAGAGCTTCTGACGTGCGGCCACCTTTCAGAGCTGCTGTCTCTACAAGTCAGCACTCAAACATCCTATGTGTAACCAGGTACCAACCTGCCTCTGACTCCATTACAGTGCCGTGAAGATGTACTGGGTTGTATGGAAAGTATTTTTACCTAGAAAAAAAACATGTTGCCTTGTCTTCACATACTACAACTATGTCTGCATCTTTGCTTTTTAAGAGCATACACTGCACCACACCATCCAGTGGTAAGAATACCTCTCTTACTTGCTAACCCCGACAGACAGTGAAACTGCTGTAGGAGATTCTCTGTGCTGTAGAGCCAGAATTGGCTTCTCCCACCTCCTTAGCATGAACAACTAGTCAAAATACCATGCCTCATACCACGATGGTTGGGAAACAGGGCCAACTTATGCGTGGATGTAGATTATGTGAGTTCAGCCTTAATGGTACGAGCAGGTGGGCCCCCAAAGTTTTCACCAAAAGTCGATTGCTGGTAGGAGCCACCAAAGTAGTAGCCATGGGATGCGAAACCCGAGCACAGGATATGGAAACAGAACAGAAGAGCCTTGAGTTTGCACTAGTGGCAGCTTTCAAAAGCAGCGTGTTACCTTGGCTCCTCAGGAAGTTCTTCAATAAAACCAGACTCACACCTCGGGCAAATGTAGTCCTATAGAAAAGAAAAACCACATGAGAAAGGTGGATGCTATGAAACCCTAGAAACAGTACCAGCCATCGGACAGAATGGAGAGAACCCCCCGCGGATGCTACAGCTAGCCAAAGGCTCAGGGCACAGGCACCCGGCAGGGCCAAGTATGCAGCACACTAAGAGCCAAAGCCATGAGGTGCTTCACACGTCCCGGCCTCCATTGTGCTTTAAATCCCCAAGAAATCTGCTGGTTTGAACCGTTCTGACAAGAAGGAAGTAGGCAGCTTTAAGGATTAAAGAGAGTAGGACACAGGATCATAGCCCTGCGCACTGCGACCTACAACCCCGTCCACACAAAAGTGAAAGGACTAATTAAAAACCGGTCTCATCTGACTCAGATCACACCAACAACCCACAAGAGTGGGAATGAAGGAAGTTTACTGCTCCAGAGGAAACGCCACTTGTTCCAGTTACTGCTTTACAGCCCCTCCCTTGTAATTCTTCTCCGGACGGAGCAGGCTTAGCTAGTCTCCGAGAGAGCTTCTTCCCTTGTATCCTCCAGTTTGGAGACTCCCCAAATATTCACTCTGTGCTTTCTGATTGCAGGAAGTTTTGCTTCTTTCTTACCCCTCAATAAAAACCATCCTTGAGCCCTACTTAGCAGAATAAGGGGTGCCCCCCTCTTTCCACCAGCTCAAAATGCCACAGAGATCTGCGGTAGGCTGCTCTTCCAACCAGACGCAAACAGGAAAACTGCTATAAAATCACAGTCAAACTGCTCTCGATTGCGTGGAAGTTAGAGACCATGTGCAAGTATATAGTACAACGTGTCAAAACATTTGAAAACTACTGGCCTCTGCTTTGATCTTCCTAGCCAAGCTACTGAGCTGCTTGGAGCAGATTTTAGAAGCTGTTCAGATAACGGCGGTCTAACGAATGCTGACGAAGCTGCGGGCAAAGTGAAAGCAAAACCACCAGACTTCCTGGCAAAGCAGCGTGAATTTGCATTCATTTCAAAATGGCTGGTTGGTTGGAGGGGGCAAGCTGTCAGAGTTTCTGCACGTGTTAATTATAAAGTTGCCGGCACTTGGGGAGAACTACAGGGGAAAACAATTACCAATCAAGTCTGGGTTTTACACCACATAGAGGCTTCCAGGAGACGCCAGCAAATTATTGTGTACCACGCACACTAGAATTATTCCCCCATTCCTCTATTCATCAGGGAGACCTGCGACCATCAACCATCACTTATACTATTGAAGACTGAGCTTTTTTACACCAAAACCACAGTAGCAGGATTCCTCAAGACTGAATTGTCTATACCCGTCTTTCTTGTTATTCCCATACTTGGCCAAGAGCTCATATTTACTGACTCTTTCTGGAACCTGAACATACTTCCATGCCAAAAGAAACCCTACATTTAAGTACTTAAGATCACATGAAGAAATCACTTCACTTGTCACTGCCAAGCCATGACTCCAAACAGCGCACAATGCAGTGCATTTTAGGACAGAAAGTGAATTAGGTCATGCCCCACCGGACCCATACAGAATATTTAAAGGCAGGCCAGAATATTACTTAAGCAGAATCTAAGCCGGACATAGGGACTAACAGCAGGAGCTCACTTATTTGACTTTATTTAGTATTAATATCTGCTTTAAAAATGTAGCTGCTGCATACCCATCCCTTTTCTGCTTGTGGGATTGTTCTGCCTTCTAAAACAAAGATATTCTGATTAAGATTCAAGGTTCCTGATTCACAAAGACACAAATGGTTTGGGATCACCCTGACAAAATCTGTGATCTCTCCTCAAGAGACGGGGGAAGTTTCCCGTAAGGCCCCGTTTACACACCACAATACTGGACAGACATTTGATCTTGCCCCTGCTTGCTCAGGAAGACAAAGTGATACCGAGACACCACCCAGCTGCTAAGTACGGCCAAAGTGGTTAAGAGCAAAAAAATGCTGCTTCCTCGTCCACACAAAGCTCTCAAGATCTGCCACAACCCAACGATCGGGTCTACCAAATTTCTGCAGTTGTTTGCATTGCAGACTAGTTCCTGCTTCGCTCCAGGCCCTGCATGGGGTTGGCGCACACGCACAAAATCAGATCAGTTCCTTTGCTCTTTGGCATAATCTCCACTCAGCTCCATTTCTGCCAGTTGCCCCACGCAGCTAAGAATTTATAAAACCAGCTTAATCCACACCCAGGGACTGCAGCCCTGCTCAAGAGAGCAAGTGGTTTGTTCCTCTTGGCTTTCCTGTTAGAGGGAGGTACTTATATATATATATATATATATTTTGCTTACGGACAACTCCGAAAACAGCAATCAGCAAATTCTTTGGAGGCTGGAACAGCACAAGCACAAATGCCAAGTTTACTGGCCCTCACACTGCTAAAATCTTTCCTTTTGTAGCACACACAGTAACAGCTTCGCTCGGGCAGCTTAATTTGCTGTCCGGAGGAGCAACTTCAATAATAAGGACCTTGGACGTGGCTACTTTCTCGAGCATCAGCTGAACTGAACCTGGATTTGGACCAGGTTGGGGACAGGCAACTGTTGCTTTCACCTCTGCAAGGTTTGCTCCAAGGCTTAAAGACATCGCACTCGGGGTTTCATACAAGGTAGTGACCAACGCGTCAGAAAGGATTTCCAGTGGCAACATAAGGGCTCCCTAAGCATCCTCCATCTGGAACGTGTTGAACAGGAGTGTATCAGATGGTTAGTCCTCAAACGATACCTATGTGTCAGATGCCTAAAAAAAGGCTTCACTTCATCTGTTACATGAAGGTAGGTACCTCCAAGGTGAAAGAGTAGGCAGATGTGTCAGTACTTGAGCTGGGATCTGGTCACAAAAGTTGTCTTTCAAACTTCTGCAAGAGCTCCAGCATCTCAGAAGCAACGCTTCCAGTAGCACAGAAACCGTCAAGCCATGCGGGGGCACCGGGTTCAAAAATGACTCACCACCATCTTCTACAACATGCTAAATTTCCCTGAAGTCATCCAGTCAAGTAATAACTAGTCTTTCCCTTGGTCAGCTCATGAATTACCAACCAGAAGAAGTTAAAAACAAAAGGAAAAACCCACATGCTTCAAAGTCTCACTTCTTATTTTAATCTAGTCCTAGGGTAGAAGTACCAAGACCATCTTAGAACAGGGAGCTGCAAGAGCCTGAGAAGCCACTGATTTAAAAGCTTCAATTATTTCAAAAGTGCAAATTAAAACGTAACAGTTCTCTCAGCAACCTCAGATCATTAGAACACCCCCAACAGGGATGGCATTAGGCCCCTGGGCAAGAGAGTCATTTGAGACCCCCGCAGAGGCTTAATTTTGATGACCTATAAGCAAATCTGACACGTGTTGCAAGATCTGGGGCCCCCCTAAAGTGTGCGGGGCCCTTACAGGTTTAATTTCGATAACTTATAAGCAAGTCTGACATTTGTCACAAAATGTTGGGCCTGCCTAAAGTGTGGGGGTCCCTTAGAGGCTTAATTTTAATGACTTATTAAAATTAAGCCTCAAGTGTCGGGGGCCCCTCAGAGGCTTGATTTTGATGAATGATAAGCAAGTTGGGCATTTTTTCCAAAATGTTGGAGGGCCCTAAAGTGTAGGAGGGCCTTTAAAGGTTTAATTTTGATGACCTATAAGCAAGTCTGACATTTTTTTGCAAAACTTGGGGGCCCCTAAAGTGTGTGGGGGGACCCGTAGAGGTTTAATTTTGATGACCTATAAACAAGTGGCAAAATTTTGCCCCTGCTAAATTGTGGGGGGGCCCCTTAGAGGCTTGATTTTCATGACCGATAAGCAAATTGGGCATTTTTTGCAAAATTTTGGGGGCCCCCTAAAGTGTGGGGGGCCCCTTAGAGGCTTAATGTTAATTACCTATAAGTCGGACATTCGTTGCCACATTTCGGGGGCCCGGGAGGACGCCGGGTTTGCCCTGCCCCGAGGCCGCCACTGCCCCGAAACGAATCCCACTGTCTTCGACCGCCCGTTGAGGCGAAACCCGTCACCTCTGCAACCCACTCGCCATGGTGGATCTTTTCAAAACCACCCGGTCCCAGGGCAGCGTGCGAACAGGCGGCTCCCGGGGCCCCGATCTTTTCAAAACCAGTCGTTCCCATGACACGTCCCCTTTCTTTCCCCGGAGCTGGGTGAACATTTGGGCTGGCGGGTCCCTCCCAGCCTTCGTCTGCAAGGCGCGCCGGCCTGGACTCCGCCAGGGACACGAAGCATTTCCTAAGCAGGCCAGGACGGTGATGGCAGCTCGGGGGCAGCAAGGGCAGGGGCAGGGCCTGGTTGGGTCCCCGAAGAGCAGGACGACTCGGGGCCGCCCCTCGCGGGCAGGAAGCTTTGGGCTGCGTTTCTCCACCTTCGGCTCCGTGCGAGTCGCTCCCCCGCCAGGCAGGGCCCGGGCCCAGGGGCAGGGGCAGGGGAAGCTCCGGGCCCGCAGACCCCAGCCCTGGGGCGGGGTGACCTGGGGTGGGGGAGCCGTCATGCCGCTCCCCCTCCCTTGAAATGTCAAATCTCTTTTCACCAGGAAAGAAACCCCCGCCCGGGCCGTGCCCACGTGTCCGCCCGCGCCCCCCGGCGGACCCGGCCAGGCCAGGCCCTGCCAGGCC